GGGAGGAAAACCCGAGTGGCTCCAGACCTTCATAAGGGGAGCTTTTTTTAAAAATGGTTTAGAGATGAATAAATTCTGATGGCGCTGTTTTTTTGCTCTAAAACCTCTTGTGCTGATTAACAACTAACAGCCCATCGTTTCCTCACCGGTGTCGTCTGGTCTCAGCCCGATTTTCCAGCGTCTCTTTTCCAGAATCCCGTGTTTGTAGCTGGACACAGGATCCATCGGTCATGTCTCGAGTGCCCTTACCTTTTTAAAGAAGGAAAAAACTAAAGATTATGGGAATCCTCCAAAAGTCTCGGGAGCCTCGGGTTGTTTAGTTCGCCTGATGTTGGATTTGCGGCGCTTGCGGTTCAATTTTCAGGGTGTTGTCGTCCAAATGCGTGTGTGAGGGCACATGATCATTTTTGTGTTCTTGAACAGGTTTCATTATGTCAGTTCTTTCCTGTTGGTATGAAAAAAAATTGTGTTTAGCTTGCTACTTAGTAAAGAGCATGTGGGAATTTGGGAAAGGAGGAACAGGTAAGCTTGTCAGTGTGTCCCCTCCTTTTTTATTTTCCATACAATAGAGACCAAGCCTGCACTGAGGAAATTTAGCTTGACGTGTAGTCAGTAGTCCTACAAACCCCGCCCTTTTCTTACCTGCCTAATCGGAGGGAGAACAAGATTTAAAAAAAAAAAAAAAGGAATGTCGAGACTCAAAAGCAAACGTTTCTGTCTCACCACATGCCAGAGCCAGGACTGTAGCTCTTGTGGTGTTTACACAGACACGAATACCACAGCAAAGCAAACTGTGTTCTCCCACTCAGAAATGAGAAGAATAGAGTGGATGTGATAAGTCAGCTGAACTGTGGTAAGACGTTCTAGTCCACTAAAGACCTGACCAACTGTCCGCCTGCCTGCCTGTCTGTCTGTCCGTCTGTCTGTGTGAGCGTGAACCAGAAAGGTGACCACTGTTAATGTCATGGTGATGATGCTTCTCATGTGCACAGTAACATATGCTGGAGATGTACACAACCACATGTGCTGGGAATAAATGATTTCATAACTTTCCTCGTAGTCCTGTGGCGTTATTGAAGGAAAGAGGAGGGCTTTGGGTTTTTAAAGTTGCCTCCGAGCAAACAACGTGAATCCTGGGGCAACGAGAAGACCAAAGTGGAATTATTTTAAATGTAATGAACCGTAAGACGAGGACATTTGGAATCAATCAACCCACAAGAAAACTGTCCTTTACAACTAACTACGAAGGGATTTCTCTGTCTTTCTACATAACATGACATTTCATGACGCTTTTAAGTGTTTTGATTAAACTTTTTAAATAAGTTCCTTTTGTTTGTTAAACGTTTTCACTATGAATCTGACTAAAAACCCTTTCTTTTTTGTGCTTTCCCAGTTCACCCAGTGCTGTAAGCTGAGCGCAGAACAGTGAACTGCTGCCTTTCACAGCACTGGGATACAGTGGCGGCTGGTGAAAAAAAATCTTGGTGGGGCTGGTGTGCCAATAGATTTCCCTGCCTAACCCAGTACATGCATTCAAGTTAAAAGTCGTAAAATTAGTACAATTCCACAATAATGATTTAATTCCCTTATCAGAATCAGCAGTTTACATATACAGTTAACCATTTGAAGCTATATTAGGTATTATTTTGGAAGGGAACAGTATGAAATACAACACTCAATTTTACTATTTTTCACCAAACACACAAAGTAGGCACACAGGTGGTTATCTTAACCCGGTTAGCTTAACACAGTTTTCCATATAACCTCGTGATATTTCATGTTTCTTAGTTGTTCAGAGGTGTTTTAAGTCTGTCTGTCCAGACTGTGTCCACGTCAAATCACTCCGGTCACTTTTAAAAGGATGCGGGAAAAATATAAAAGTGCATTGGCGTCCCACCGGCAGTCAGCCAGGACTCACGCTGGAACCAGCTCCTGCTAAAGGCCGGCTGTGGGACTTCGCTTTTTCATTGGTTCGCTGCGTTAAATTTATTTCGGACTTGTCAGGTCCCAGCTTCTTTACGTTAAATTTTTCCACCATTGTCCTTCTCACGTAAGGAGATCTCAGTAAAGATCTCACTGAATTGTGTGAAAGCAGCTCTACAACTGTCGTCGTCGCCGTCATCTCTAGGTCACAGCCCGACTGACCAATAGCTACACGTCTATGGCTTTGGGGCTCCAGCTCCAGGCGCCCCAAACCCGATAATTTCGGCGATGCTGATTGGCCAAATATTTATTCATTTTCCCTAGCAACATTTTTCAATTGGTTATTTCGCTGCACTTCTGGGGCGCTTGGGGCTAGCGCCCCAGAAGAGAAACGATACGTTCTGTGGGTGAAAATGCACTGTTGAATGAGAGTCAGTTGGTGGAAGTGTTGTTTTAATAATTCATATTACATGTAGCCACATATTATTAAGTAAAACTGACATTGATAATACTTTAAAAATAAATATATATATTATAACTTTCCCCCTCCACATCTAGGGGGGGCGGCGCCCCAGCGCCCCCTATGGGCCGGCCGCCACTGCTGGGATATGAAAGGGACCACAGAGAGGAGCAAACAAAGGGCTTTTGTTGTAGGACAAGTGGAAGACTCTGCATTGACTGACTTATGAACAGATTGGGAGAACAGAACACCTGCCTTAGATCTCCCAAAGCAGATGTTCAGGACTCGGGATGAGACCAACTTCCACTTAAGGATTTAAATAAGATGCGGAATTACACCAGCATTAAAATGAGTGCAGGTGTTGCTTGTTCATTTACGAGACAACACAAAAAATATGAGCATCTGTTGGTATCTCTGAGTAAAACTATTTGGTTCACATTAATATGTATCATGGATAATGTTGGTCAAAACAAAATCAGGGTGTTGCTCAGACATACCGAATGTATTTACTCACACATGGTAAAACTTCAACAATGACTGCACTTCCATGTCAATTCACTTACATGTGAATGTTAAAACATTTTTTTTTAATGTGATATAAAATAACACAAAGGAGTAATTTGTGTTTAAGATTTCCCAGCTCTTTTCCTTTCTATGTATTTATTTTTGTTATATCATTTGAAGTGATGTATTTATTCAAGTTTGAGGCTGTTCATGCTCTCCTTCCCATTTTTAAACTGTTTTAAGATCCCCAGTCTGTCTTATCCATAGGAAATGCTGACACTGCTTATGTTTTTCCTGTTTTGATTGCAGAGGAAACAGGGAATTTGCTCATAAAATACATATTTTACCCAAAATAAAACATCACATCCCAAATAGGCTAATAAAAAATGACAACATTGTAGAATACGAAATGACTTTAGATATAACAACATAGCATCATTGTAAAGCTTTGACAGCAGTTTTAACGGCTCCAAAGAGTTTTTATGGTCATCATGTCAGATCCAACTCAATAACAGAGAAACAGCTCATTATCGGACACCCGTTAAAACGCTACTGAGTCTGCGCAGTGCTGCTCCTCGTGACGTAACCGACGTTGCCTGTCAGAATCCAGGAAGTGGATTGCCCGTCGTTGTTTGTGTTCGTCGCTCACAGTTTTCCTGCCTGTTTTTTCTGATTTCGGATCTCGCTTTTCCGGGCCGAAATGGCGACGTTTATTTCAGTCCCGTTGAAGAAGTCTTCCGAAGTGGATCTGGTAAAGCCGCTGTCGAAATATGTCACAGCCTCGTACCCGGCGGGCGAGGACCAGGCGGAGTACCTCCGCGCCGTGGAGGAGTTGAACAAGCTCCGCAAAAGCGCCCTGGGAAGGCCGCTGGACAAACACGAGAGCTCCCTGGAGATCCTGCTCAGGTGAAATAACAAACCTTGTGTGACAGTGGAGCATAATGAGCGACTCTAACACGACCGGAAACGTCTTTAGTAACGGCTGCATCGCTGTTTAGCCGCTCCCCTGGAGGTTAGCTTCGGTTGCTAACGAGGTGGCTAAAGTTTAAGCTAAGTCTAGCTAAGATGGTAGAATAACTGACTCACGTGTAACTCTTGCCAAGTTTCCTCGAAACCTTTATGAAGACGTTCCCGTTCGTTTAAACGAACTGTCATGTAAATATGAGGTGAAATGATCAATTATGGGGGTCAAAATGATCTAACTTGGCTCCCTTTTCACGTGTTGGGGTTCGATTAAAGCTCTAAAAAAGTATTTAGTTTTCAGGTTAAAGATGAATGTAGGGGGGAACAATGAGGAGCACACTAAGACTGGCATTATAGCCCAAAATGCTGGCCCTCAAACAGGCTGCCCTAAGTGTGCTTTAGATAGAGCTTAGTCATTACTGGCCACCACCCCCTTCCAGATTTGGATTGGTTAGACTAATTATAGATCACTAAAAACTTGATTTAATGATAACATATTGGTATAAATAGAAGCTAAGATCAGATTTATTTTTTTAAATGTGTTAATTGCTGCTTATTGGGGTAAATGAATGAAAGTCTGTGTAGTATAGTGCTATAGTGCTGCATCCATTTACCAGCATTTATCAGCATTTCTCACTACTGGAAAAGTCCAAATCCTGTCCATCAGGTGTCGTTCATACTCCAAATGACGCCTCCCATGCCCCGCTTTGCATAGAGGAACTGTGAGTTCAACAGGAGCTAACAAAGATCCTCTGTGGCCGCCGCAGCTCTTCTCTGCTGCCAGGCTCCTGTGCCATGTGTTTATTCTGCCGTGGCTTCAAAAGGATGCAGACTTTGCCCCGTTTTATTTCAGCCCGTTTCTCTGAACACAGCCCATCCTATCAGGGTTTGCCCTGACGACAAGCTGTTATTTTTGTTAGCTAACAGGTGAGTTTGGAGCAAATAGAAAAGCCATGCAGAGCGTTTTTTCTCACCTTCATCCATCTGGGTGTTTTCTGCTCTGATGGAGATTCTGAGTTAGAGCTGACTGTCTTAGCTGAGCTTCTTTAAGTTCTGGACACTCGTCGTTTTGGCCTGTGAGGATTCAGGATACTTTCTGTTTACTGAATGATGTCTGGAGACTTTCTATTTACTGTAGTCTGAGTGATGGCCAGGAGGCCCCTCACACAGCCTCTGGGCTGCCATGGCGACCATTGTTAGCGGGATCTTTTCTTCTGTTCCTTTTTTTTTCTTATCTCGGCCGTTAGTCATCCAGGTGGCACACCTCACCTCAGCTCAGATCGGCTTTCCAGCGTGGACACACACGCGTGTTTTGAGTGTGAACACAAAGGAAGCTAAACACTTTTGATGTTTGTCTGGACGTCGTGTGTGTGTGTGTGTCTGTGTGTGTGTGTCTGGGCTGTCGGGCCTCCAGATATATATGTGTGACTCTGTGTGCGTTTCTGTGTGTGCATCTGTGTCTGTCTGTGTGTGTCTGTGTCTGTGTTTCTATTCGTGTGTGTGTGTTTGTGTTTGGTTGTGTGTGTGTGTATGTGTGCGTACGTGTGTGTGTGTGTGTGATCCTGCGATCCTGCGCTGGTATTTTTCCTGACTCACCGTCGGGTGTCTGACGGTGGAGTTTCTCCGCCCTCTGATTCCACTCTGCTGCTGCATTATAAACCAGTTTGTGGCCTCAGCATAGTTTCCCTTTTTCATCGAGGAAACAAAATAAACAAAACAATCACACATGTTGGTGGTTCATAAATAAAGGAAAACTAGGTTTTAATCCTGCTTTTTCTCTCTGTCCACAGATACTATGACCAGCTGTGTGCTGTGGAGCCCAAGTTCCCCTTTTGTGAAAACCAGGTAATCGGTTTCTGGCCACACATGACCGATCCGGCTGATTTACAGCGGAGCTTCAACACAAAGTGTTTCTGTGTGTGTGCAGCTCTGCCTAACCTTCACGTGGAAGGACGCCTTCGATAAAGGATCGCTGTTCGGTGGCTCCGTCAAGCTCTGTGAGTGCCGCTTCACGCAAAGCACATCTGTAAACATCTGCAGGAAGAGCTTTGTTACCAATACAGTTACAGTAGAACCTCCACATACGAATCTAACCGGTTCCAGGACTGACTTCGTATGTTAAAATATTCGTATGTTGGTTCAAATATTCCCATCAGAATACACTGTAATTCCTATAATTCCTTCCACAGCCCAAAAACCTACAATAACTGCTTAATAAATACAGCATATTATTACACATAGCAATAACACAAATGCGTTATATAATTATATAAAAGAGATGTAAAAAATACATTATAAAGAAGTAATCAATAATAAGGCTCTTTTTATTGCCAGCTAGAGGTGGAGTCTGAGATACAGGACGAACCCTAACTTTCACTACGTTAACTTTGAACTAACTTATCTTATTAATTTTTATTGAATTTTATATTGAATTTTTTTTTCTATGACTTCGACGTCATAGAAAAGTAGAAATTTGTTGGAAATTTACTTTGAGTCAAATAT